GAGGTGATCCATCTCCTCCAAGTTGCTTGCGGTGATGAAGACGTCCGATGCTTAGACCATACAGATGGCTGCTCGAGGCGGCAGCCACACGAAGCGTAGAAGTAGACGATGAGATGACGGACCGACAGATTCAGCTTCGCGAAGCGATGACTGCGCTCCGATTCGACTAATATTTGAGTCGCTGGGAACTCCTGCCCGAGAGGCAGCACTCCAGCGGCTGATCGGTAACAATAGCACGAGTGATAGGACCTCAGTGTGGGTTGTGGTGATGCCCTTCGTATACCTGGCAGAAATTGTTGGTCTCGTCCATCGTCGTTTCTTGCTTCGGCAACGTAGCACGAGTGGCAGGCGAACACCACAAGAAGTCGGCAGGCGACCGTCGCGCGTCAGGGGAGCGCGTTGGCACACACATGATTTTTCATATAAGAACATTAGTACGCTCAATAACACATGAGGGTGTATGAGACTATCAGCCCCCCAGATGTCGATGTGTCGTGGTCCCCCCGCCCAAACATGCCCGGGAATGGAGATACAGGGCCGTGAAACACGCTAATTCTTCCATGCTCCGCCCACTGCCTTTTGCGGCGCAGATTCCCGCCGTTCTGAACATCCGTTGCAAGCGCGCCTGTCGCGTGCGGCTCCTTGGCACTTTGCCAAGTCCTTTAATTGCGCTCTCAATACAAGGAAAACGCAATTTCCTGATGCGGATAACATTGGAGGTGCTACAAAATAAGAGCAGAAGATGATGACGAGGGTCAGAACTAAAAGCGCAACTGTGCCACTTCTGCAACATCCTCGAGGCCACGTATTTCCACGAAACATGAAAATAAAACTAAAAACGGCATACTCGTTAGTTTAATACAAGCAAGACGCAATTTCCTGATGCGAATAAAATTTAAGGTGTTGCTCATGCTTCAAAATCCATGTACAAGGAGATGAAGATGACACAGGCTAGAAATGAAGCACAACGATGTAAATGTAAACAAAACAAAAATGAAAAAATCAAGGAAAGGCAAATTAGATAAACTGGCCTGTAAATTTCTACGATCCGGCGCCAAAGCCATAGAAATACTTAGAACAAACGAGTGGGACGCTTGGGCTGTTTTTATTTTCATGTTTTGTGGGAATGCGCGGCCCTTGATGGATACTGCAGATGCAGCCGAGTTGCTCTTGAGTTCTGCCCCTTGTCATCATCTTCTGCTCTTATTTTGTAGCCCTCCAATTATCCGATCAGGGAAAGTTGGCGTTTTCTTGTATTTAAGAGAGCGCAATTAAAGGACTTGGCAAAGTGCCAAGGAGCCGCACGCGACAGGCGCGCTTGCAACGGATGTTCAGAACGGCGGGAATCTGCGCCGCAAAAGGCAGTGGGCGGAGCATGGAAGAATTAGCGTGTTTCACGGCCCTGTATCTCCATTCCCGGGCATGTTTGGGCGGGGGGACCACGACACATCGACATCTGGGGGGCTGATAGTCTCATACACCCTCTCATGTGTATCGAGCGTACAAATTTTTTCATTAAGTACTTAATTCAACTTCAATTTCAGATGGTTCCATGTGCCAATCAATTTGAAATCCATCCTCACTTCACTCGTGAAAAACTACGGAAATATTGTAAAAAGGAAGGCATCTTTGTACAGGTTTGCTATTTCGCAATGCGGTTTCCCTACTCTGACAAATCGGTCGATCGTGGAACAAAGACCAGCTTTATCGTTGGATAGAAAGAAACACCATTAAGGCCAACAAGGAAAATCTGCGCCCCAATTTCTCCTATATCTCAATTCAGGCGTTTGCTTCACTTGCTCGTATGGCTCCGCAGCTCGTCCAGGAGCCACTTATTATTAAAACGGCGAAGAAGTATAATACCAATGTTGCGGTAAAGATGCATTCGAGCTTCTCTATGTGCATACGTAGTCCATCATTTAGTATGGTAGATATGATTTGGATTTCAGGCCATACTTCTCGCTTGGGCGCGCTGTCAAGGTATTGGAGTCATACCGAAGTCCACACTGGAGAATGAGCTGAAGGCAAACATTGAGGTTTGATCAATTCTGATGATGCATGCTCATATCGGACCTTCTCTTACTCTGAGGCCCGCAAATCGTCGAATCTAATTGAATCGTATCGTAGAAATCGTGAACTCCTCTCTTCCCACAGCTTGTCTCAGCCGTCGGAAATTTTACATAATGCTAAAGATTATGGCTCATTCCAGATGACGAAGTTGAATTTGAGTCAAGAAGAGATTGAATCTATATCAAATCTGAATTTAAACAAGAATTACATCGAATGTTGTGGATGGTGTGTCACGTAATGCGACCTTTGAACAGAAAAAATAAAGGAATGTCAATTATAATCGCCTGTGAAATTGAATAACAGTAATCGTTTACATTGCTCTTGTCGCGTAACTCCAATATCCTCCGCTTATCCTTGTGCCACTGTTGATTTGAATCGGACACAGAACCCACCCCGGACAGTTGATTGGCCAGATTACACTCGATACTGATGCAAGCCATAGCCCGACAGCCACGCCCATTTCTCGACGCAGCATTGGTGTCTAATTTCAATCTTTTTAGTTTTATTTTCTTTAAATTTCTACATTTTTCGTCGTACGAATGGATAACTTTGGAGTTAGTCGGGAAAATGTCAGGAAGAGCGGCATGAGCCCGCCTCTAGCTGCTTTGCTCCACCAGTGGGGATCGGTTAGGCAGCGTTCAGACTTCGCGACGGCAGCGCTTCGGTCGCGCGTTCGACGCGATCGATGCGCATGCTTTCGACTGCATCGATCGCGTCGAACGCGCGATCCGAAGCGCGAAGTCTGAACGCTGCCTTAGTGATCGATTGTGGCGCAAGGAAGGGCGTGTCGGGGAAGAGTTTTTCGAATAGCCGCTAAGACCGTGGACTCACTTGGATTTCATCCTTTTGATAGAGGGCCGTTTTCGTTTCACTATCCTAAGATCCGAGCTTTCTCCTATGTAGAATTCCAAGCATGATGCAAAATCTTGAGAAGTTTCATATTTACAAGAAAGCAGGAAGAAATTTGATGCACAATGAAACTCAGGGATAATGTACTTGTGCATTTTTTGCTGTACAGGTTTTACATGATAATTTTATCTCGTTACTATAGTTTGTCTTCGCCCTATAAAAAGCCCTGTACAACTACGAAATGTTCTATTGGTACTGAATGGATACGATTCTGCGAACAACTCAGTAGTCCCAGCTTTAAATAATAGTAATACGTACACTGCTTTTATAATATCGAACAATCTACATAGCATTAATAGTGCATTATAATGGATGACAATAACAAAAGTGAAGAACTGAGTAGCAGAAAAAAGGTAAAGAAGGGAAATTTCAGAGTGCAGTTCATATCTGAGGGCATTACAAGGCGTGGCTGCGGAAGAAGCCTTTGCTCAGACGAGAAAGATTCAAAGGGGTTTGTTTCAAAGAGGAGAGTGAGCACGGGAAAGCCGTCGCTGAGACGCCCCTTCTCATCGCTGAG